TGTACATCCTAAACTCAATACTACAGTCATCTGAAGAAGTGGATCAGAAACAGTCAATAGATAGTACCCTTCCTAACACAGGAATCTACACAAAGAGCTCTTTGACTTTGATTCTTATCTGCTTCGTTTTAACTACCCAATCTTCAGGTGCTTACTGATTCCCAGCTCTGCCTTCCTGTTTTTCCCTTTGATTTTCCATACCCTCTGCTCCTTGTTTCTCACCCCCTCCTTTTCTTCCTCCCCGCTCCCCTTCTCTCCTATTTATTTTGGGTCTGTACATCCTAAACTCAATACTACAGTCATCTGAAGAAGTGGGCTGTTCCCACAAAAGCTCATTTACATGTTTTGTTAGTCTATAAAGTGCTATCAGACCATTTGTTGCATTATCCTATTAATCATCAGCAAGCAAGCCAAGAACAGAAGTAAGCTCTGGCAGGTCTATGGAGCAGGTGGCAGATAGTTTTTAATGTGTTTCTGTCTGATAGTCTCATAACAGTTCAACAGTGGTAAACAAAGGTGAGATGGCTCACTAGGTAGGGTGCTGGTCTGGGATTCTAGAAACCCAGTTTGGGTTCCTTGCCTACTGGAGATTGAGTGTGTGGGCTTGAGTAAGTCACTTAGGTCAGGTTGTTATGCTTAAACAAAGCACATGAGATCTTTTATAGGGGAAAAGGCAGTATGCCACATTTATTGAGAATACAACGGTAGCATATGCTTTTCAATCACTCACACACACAAACACCATACACACATGGTATAGTTACCAGTCCAGAGTCTGGATCAATCTAGTGTCCAGCCAGATCGATCATAGAGGGAGAGCCTGACCTTTTGTCGGTTGCGTTCCAATGCTGTCCTGGAGTTGGTGGCAAGACGAACACAAAGTTCCATGGCAAAGCACCCTGCTTTTATAATCCTTTTCTCTGTTGAAGTCTATGGATTCTGCCATGTCAGTCTGTATCTGATATGTTATCTTTTTTATGTCAATCATTCCTAAATACAGTATCTCAAAAGGCTCATCCTGTAATCAATTGTTTTAGAGGGGTGCCAGCTCCACTTTAGAGCTGTCAATCTGCCAATCTGATCACTCCTTTACCATGGGTACACACTAATAGTCTTTCTGACGCTGATGAGTGTGTCTTCACCCAAACGTCGCCCCTCCTTTCTTGGCCATCTGGCTCTGAGGATAACCTTCGCACCTTTATCTCAACACATACATAACGCTTTCATACAGAAGCAATCTCTCCAAGGACTTTCAAAGAAAAGCATAATACAACAGAACACCACTGGCCATCACCTACAGTCCTCAGCTAAAACCTCTCCAATGCATCATTAGTGATCTACAACCCATCCTGGACAATGACCCCTCGCTTTCACAGGCCTTGGGAAGCAGGCCAGTCCTCTCCCACAGGCAAGCCGCCAACCTGAAGCATATTCTCACCAGCAACTACACACCGCACCATAATAACTCTAACTCAGGGACCAATCCATGCAACAAACCTCGGTGCCAACTCTGCCCACATATATACACCAACAACACCATCACAGATCAGCCATACTGTCACTGGTTCATTGTCCTGTACATCTACTAACATAATATATGCCATCATGTGCCAACAATGCCCCACTGCTGTATACATCAGCCAAACTGGACAGTCCCTACGTAAAAGAATCAATGGACACAAATAAGATATTAAGAATGGCAATATACAAAAACCTGTAGGGGAACACTTCAGTCTCCCTGGACACACAATTGCAGATCTAAAGGTAGCCATCCTGCAGCAAAAAAACGTCAGGACCAGACTTCAAAGAGAAACTGCTGAGCTACAGTTCATCTTCAAGTTTGACTCAATCAACTCAGGATTAAACAAAGACTGTGAATGGCTTGCTAACTACAAAAGCAGCTTCTCCTCTCTTTGAATTCACACCTCCAGATCAGCTGCTAGAAGTGGGCCTCATCCTCCTTGATTGGATCCACCTGGTCATCTCCAGCCTGATCCTGGCCTGCATATTTATTCCTGCCTCTGGAAATTTCCACTACATGCATCTGACGAAGTGGGTCTTTGCCCACGAAAGCTTATGCTCCTACACTTCAGTTAGTCTATAAGGTGCCACAGGACTCCTCGCCGCTTTTGCAGATTCAGACTAACACGGCTACCCCTCTGATACATAATACAACAGTATCCCAACAGTATTGGGCAAAGCAAAAAGGCATTGTAAATCAAACAATTAAGACTTCAGCCTTCAACATTCCTCTAATCTCATTAACATAGACACAGTACCAAAACTTACTAAACTCACTAAGCTTTAAAACAAAGAAATATATATCTTACTAAAGGGCTTAGTTTAATGAAATATTAAATGTAATAATGTATTATCTCGCATTGCTACATTATTAAACCTAAAATACAAATATAAAAAGAATAAAACTTTCAACTCCAACAAGATCTACATCACACAGAAGAGCAGCACTGACATAGTCAATCTTTTGGGGTTTGATTTAGTGGGTCTAGTGAAGACCCGCTAATTTGAACTGAGAGATCAGCACCGGTACTTCTGCTCCACGAGGATTAAAGGAAGCCAATTGGAGCATGTGCCCCTGTCGACCTCCCACTGTGTGGATGGTGCAAAAATGTGTTTAAGATAAGTCAACTCCAGCCATGTAACTAACATAGCTGGAGTTGTGTATTTTAAATTGACTTTCTCCTTTAGTGTAGACCAGGCCTTAGTTCCCACTGTGTAAAGTGGAAAGAATAGCATTTCCCTACAGGGCTACAGGGATGTTGCAAGGGTAAATACATTAAAGAAGAGAACTCTCAGGTATTACAGTGATGGAGACTAAGTAGCTTACACAGAGGACTTCTTTAAGTGTCTGTTCCATCCCCTTGTTTCTTTATTTCTTTCCAATCCCTTTTTTATTAAGGAAAACATATGCTTCTAGCTTCCTTCTGTGCTCCAGGTAAGCAGCTAATCAGCTAGCTGTAGTCTTTGCAGTTGTACTTGATAACATCCTGTCTTAAGTGCTCACCCTCCAGGTGACAAAAGCCATCATAATCATGGCCCCAGATCAATCCACCTATGGCCTAGTGTTACTCCTTCGCCATCATTTCTCAAGTAGTTACAGTGCTCAGACTTAGAAGAAACAGCAGTTAGAAAATGTCTGTTTGATATAACATGTTAGCTTTAAAGACCTCTAGAATCTTTTTTTGTTGGCTCTCCACCAGTAATCAAGGCAATAGGTTGTCCTTAAGGTAAATGAGAAATTCTCTTTCTGCTCATTCCTCTCAGAGAGGTGAATGTTCTGTCATTCCCTGAAAAGCTTTGCATACTCCAACATATATCAAAGGACATGAAAAGCAAAAAATGCCTGATATTGCATGAGGTGAAAAAAAAATCTACACAGTTTAATTTACTGTGTTATTTCGGAGTGGATACTTAAGTCTAATGGGACAATTTAATACTCATATATTTTTGTAAACACAGAGCTAATAAAAATGTTTGGCTAAGCAAGAAAGGGTAGGAGGGTGCTTCTTGTCTTTGCTTCTTATGTAGTTTATCATCAAAGTTAGAGCAGATACCTTGTTCCCATATAAGTCCATGGGAGTTTAGCCATTGTGAAAGTGTAGCCATGTACACAGTTAACCAATGAGCCTGGGCTCATCGATTCAAATTCACAGCTACATGCAGGCTCCTGGTACGCATGGGGAGACAGCTTAAAAGCGAGCTCCTGGCTCACACCAGCTCCCGGGAGCCATCTGCCTCCCCGCACTGCTGCCTCTGTATCAGAGCCAGCAGCATGCACCGGCTCCCGGGGGGCCAACTGTAGCCCTGCATGTAACCATGTAACTGCTGAAATTTTCATCTTCAAAAAATAGATTACACAGTTACTTAATTACACTCATTTCAACATGCCTCATAATTATTTTGTGGGTCTTCTTATTGTATATAAACTCATTTCCCTGCTTACATTTACATTTCAAAACTGAGAATGACTGTTCCCCAAGCTTGGTTACATTTTCTGAATTGTGCAGTTATGAAATGTCATAACTACTTTTTCAATAAGAAACGTAACTGACAGTTTCCTGTGAGCTCTATTTGCTCTAACAAAAATTTGCTTCACAGACAAATGAGAATTCTTTCTTAGGTATGTACTTATTCTCATACACTTAGGTAACTACTTATTCTGTCATTCTAAAGAGAGTTCACACTCAATACCCTCATTTTGTTCTTTCAAAAAACAAAAGTAAAATTGGGTTTTGCTAACTGCTTTTTACTGTACAGTCTCTGGTTCATGGTTCTAAACATGGATCTGATTGACTGAATTATAGTGATCTTCAAGTGAAATATATCAACGATCCTTTTATGATCTGTTAGTTTCAGTACTCATATGATATGGAAAAACTGAGGCACGCAAGAGATTTTTTTTTTAAGGGATCAGTCTTGCTCCTACTGAAGTCAATAGAGATTTTGTTTCTGACTTTAGAGGGATCAGACTTTGGGTTTAAATTTGCCCTCTGTCATAGAGTAAATCTCTCGTAGAGCCAGGACTCAGATCTTCTGATTCTCAAACCTGTGCTATAACCTGAAAGTCATGTTTCCTAGGTATCAGCAAAGAGTCCCTTTTAACGAATATGCATTAATCTATTACTGCTACCTGGACACCCCAAAATCTGAACCTGGGTACTGCATACCACACTTGAAGAGAAACTGAAATAGATATGAGCAGGGGGATGCAAGTGTAGTTGATCGATGACCACAGTTCTTTGAGTTCATAAGTAGGATAATACTTGGAAGCTAATGAGATTTTTATGTGTAAATCCACACTTCTCAAAATGGCAATCCATGCTTCATTGATCAAACTGCTGCTAGCTGTTAATCACATAGATATCCTGGTGATGATACGATAAGACATTTGCACGTGTTCACCACACTTCATTTTTGAAGCAGTCTGGGATTATTTATGATGACAAAATGGAAAATGCTTCATGTTTGGTTTTTTCCAGCTCATTCAGAAGTTGACAGATGTGGCAGAAGAATGTCAGAGCAGCCAGTTAAAGAAGCTAAAAGAGACGTGTGAAAAGTAAGGTGCTATTCTCATATAACTAAATCATTGTCAGCATCTAATTTCTGGTTAAAATATATATGTGTGTATATACCCACACACAGAGAGCCAACCGGGCCAACAGCTTCCACGGGGGCTCTGAGCAATGTGGGGGGAAGGTCCCAGCTCTGTGCCCTGGTAGGGGTGGAGCCTCAGGTGAAAGGGGTGGGGGGCAGAGCAGCCAGCCCTCCACACCCCACTTGGAGCGGCATTCTCATGGTGATTTAAAGGGCCCAGTTCTCCAGCTGCCACAGTAGTGGCAGGGGCTTTGTGTGTGTGTGTGTGTGTGTGTAGGCTTATCTTTATCTCTCTTTGTGTGTGTGTGTGTGTGTGTGTGTGTGTGTGTGTGTGTGTGTAGGCTTATCTTTATCTCTCTTTGTGTGTGTGTGTGTGTGTGTGTAGGCTTATCTTTATCTCTCTTTGTGTGTGTGTGTGTGTGTGTGTGTGTGTTGTGTGTGTGTGTGTGTGTGTGTGTGTAGGCTTATCTTTATCTCTCTTTGTGTGTGTGTGTGTGTGTGTGTGTGTGTGTGTGTGTGTAGGCTTATCTTTATCTCTCTTTCCTATAGAGAAAAGAAGGAGTTAAAGAAGAAAATGGACAAGAAGAGGCAGGAGAAGATTACAGAAGCTAAAACCAAGGATAAAAATCAAATGGACGAGTGAGTGTACTGTAAAATGTTATTAGACTTTAGTATGTTCAAGGCCATTTGGTCCATATGACATCAAAAGAAAAGCTTCAATTAGGTAATCAGCATGCAGGAAGTAAGGGGTCACCAAAGGAACAGTGCCACCTCCTCTTGAAGAAATCCAAACTCCTTCTGCACATGTAGCACTGTGCCAGCTAAATTAGAGCAAATGAGAGCATCTTCATGAAAAGACCCAAGGTCAGTGTGGTCAAAGAATGGCACACTTAGGCCCTGGTTTCACAAACACTTCCGCATGTGGGTGAAGAAGCCCATTGGCTTCAATTCAACCTTGTAAAGTTACTCATGTGCGGGAGTGTTCATGAAATTTCCTCTGAATTTGAGAGACCCTTGAACCACACTATAAAACTAGTGTTCTGTGGGCTCTTTTCAACATGCAGAAAAAGGAATGTGGCAGGGTTAAAGTAGTTTGAGTGTCTTGTTTGAGAAACGCAACTTTACCTGCATGTGACAGGGTGGACTAAGCCCCGATGCCCTGCTAGAGGCTGGAGGCCTTGCCACACCCTGCCCCAGTGAGAGGAGCAGAAGAGAGGTCCTCCAAGCAAGATAGAGTGGCTGCCTCTGCTACAGCCAATCATGGCCCAGCAGGCTGCTATAAAAGAAGCTCTGGCAGTTTCTCACAAGAGCTTGACTCAGACAGATCTATGGACTGACTGGGAGGACAGCAGCACTGTGGATAGTTCCGAGTGCAAGCTGAACATTAGGCCTGGATGAGACCCAGGTCCAGTGGCTGAAGACTAGCCACAAGCTAGTATAAGATTTTATAGCACCCTGGACCGGGTGTGTGGAAAGCCTAGCCTCAGAACCCTGAGATGGCTGGACCCAGCAGCATCCTGGGGAAGTGACCCAGGGAGCAAGGAAGTAGCAGATAGCGGAGACTCATAGCCAGCCACTGCCACTTACAGAGTTCCTGGGCCAGGACCCAGAGGAGAGGGCAGGCCTGGGTCCCCTCTCCCTAACCTCCAGCAGCCACAACAAGGGGATAAGAAGAAGCCACATACTGGATACTCCCTCTTCCGCAGACAGCTGAGCAGAGAGATTACAAGGCGCACCCTCGGCCACAGAGTGGCACTCACAAGAGGGGGGAGCCCTTTACAGCGCATTCCTTGGGAATCCAAGCTTTTCATATGTTTAACAAAATTGTAATGTTATTGAACGATAGCCTGCACAGAAACTACTGACATTTCCTGCAGCTTTCATTTCATCTTAACAGAGCTGGTGGGGTAGGAATTTCCTTTCTTGTTAACTTTACCATTTATAATCTCATTTCTGACTGAAACCAACCACAGCATTAGAATGATGGAGGGTTTGTGCTAGGTTTGTAATGTCACCTCAGATTCTGTGCTACAGGTCCCCCTTTCATGCTAGCATTCGCCTGTGTGGAGTTACTTCTGATTTTTCAACAGTGGAAGTGAGAATTGTGTTTTGTGGGTGCAGTCCCTGGAAAAAGGTGGCAAAATATTGATTTCATTACTGGCTCACAAATAAGCACAGAAGTGGGTCGTATCCTTTGCTAATGTGCAACAAATAGGCTTTGTTCGTTTTCCTCAATTCATTTGGGAAAATAACTCAAAGAGAGAATGGAACATTTTAGAGTTCACTACTGTATTTATTATTAGTTGGCATTGATCAATCTTTGCGCAAGGCCCTGTTGTTCCCAAACCCAAGCCTGCAGAGTTACAAGGTAGCAAACATCTCTGTACTACCTCCCAGTACCAGCTTTATCTAGCTTGCATACTCCTACCCATGAGCTGCTGCAAACACCAACCACAGGGAATCCTACCGCAAGGGGCTTGAGAGAAGGCACTTTATGGTACTTGATTTGTTCATTGCTCTATATAAAGCTAAGGGGTGGTCTCAGAAAATGTCTAGGTAACAGGGTCTGTTATTAGCTGGCTACTGAACTCCTGGTATTGACTTCTGCTCTGATTTGGGCCTTGACTCCTACATGAATCCTGGAACTCCCACATGCCTCCTAATATGCAGTATTGACCCTCAGCCTGTCCTCCATCTTGTCTCCAGCTCTGCCTCTTAGATGGATCACAGGATTGATTGTTGACTCTGATATTGACTCTGAACTCCAGTGCTTGTCCTGCCTGCCTTTGCCCAGGATCCTGATGATTTGTATTATCTAAAAGCAATTTAAAAAAAAAACAGCAAAAGAATTTAAAAAGTCAAAACAACAAACTCTTTGTATGATCTAAAACCAATTTTTTTTAGAAAATGCAAAAGAATTTAAAAAGTCAAAACAACAAACTTAATAAAACCACTCTGCACCAACACAGAAGCTTTTGCACAAAAGCCGGGTTGCACAGTGTTTAATATAGCAAAAAACCACTCCGCACCAACACACAAGCTTTTGCACAAAGGCCGGGTTGCACAGTGTTTAATATAGCATTACCACTGTGCATGGGTTGGAGCTTCGCTTCGTGTTGTAGGAGAAAGAAATACATCTTTGTATTGATAGACAGGAAAGATAAAAGGACGCCAGTGTATGATCTAAGAGCAGAGACTGGAGAAATATAATAAAATAAGCAGCCTAAAGAGAAGATGACAAAATAGAAATAAGTGATAGTATAAAGAGGAAGAATTATTTAAGATGATTAAAGTTGGCTTAATGGCATGGAAGTTGGAAAAAATCAGACATTATGGAACAGGTTTTATCAGTAAAATGAATTACAATGTGAAATGATTTGCCAGTAGAGAGGCTATTGAAATACCAACTTAGTTGTTCAAAAGTAGGCAGGTAAACATCTCTGAGGAGGCTCTCACAAACTCTTTGCATAGCAAAATCCAGTGGAGGCAGCAAAAGCAGCAGGAAACTCCCCATGTTTCTAGCCAGCCCCAAGAAGTAGACACAGTTTGCCCCGCCCCACTAAAAGAGGTGTCAGGACTTGTGTGCAAACCCAGTAGATCCCATCAAGACTACCTTTGCCAAGTGTGTTTGAGCATTCTCTCTCACAAATGTGGGAAATTAAATGCACACAGATTAATATATTATGCCAAACTTTGCAGGCATTCATTTTTCTATTGTCCTTAATTTCCCCCATCTTTAAGGTTTGCGTAGCTGCTTGTAAGCGACTTATTATAGTTCTTTATGTATTAGTGGCAATATTTCAATAGTTCTGTTTAATCTCTTAAGTGCACCTTGATTTTTATTGAACTGTTGCAACTAACTCATCATTTGAGGGCAGTTGGCTTCATTCTCTGCAAACTTCATAAACAATAACAACAATCTTACATAATGCAATCAAATAACTAGATGCCATCATCCCTAATAAGCTGCATGTTCACTGTGGGTGTGATACAATGCTTATTGAAGTCAATGGCAAAGTTCCTGTTAGCTTTCATGGTATGGAATCAGAGCCTATATTGACCCGGGTGAAGTTTTCAAAGGTGCATTAGTAGCTTTGGAATTCTAATGTATCTGTTCTACCCTGGCTTTGTTGCACTTGTCTATGGCAGTGTGTGCCAACTCTGGCCAGGCAGTTCTGAAAAAAAAATCTGTCTAAAAATCACTGCAGCTGAAACTGCTGAGGTGTTCCTGCTTCGGTTCTACTAGAAGTAGTTGAAAAGAAAACAAGCAATTGCTTCAAGTCAGAATAGCAGCTGATTGTTGAGGAGTTGAATAAGAATATATCGTCACTACAGGCTAGATTGACAGGCACCAATCAATCCAGCGGGGGTTGATTTATTGTGTCTTGCATAGATGTTATAAATCAACCACCGAACACTCTCCCGTTGACTCCAATATGCTACCAAAATGAGTAGAGCAAGTGGAATTGATGGGAGAGCCTGACTTGTCGACTTACCATAGCGAAGGCTCCAGAGTAAGCAGACCTCTAAGTATGTCGACTTCAACTATGCTTATGCTCCTACACTTCAGTTAGTCTATAAGGTGCCACAGGACTCCTCGTCGCTTTTGCAGATTCAGACTAACACGGCTACCCCTCTGATACTTGACTTCAACTATGTTATTCATGTAGCTGAAGTTGTGTATCGTAGTGTAGACAAGACCTAAGACCAGGCAGTTCAAAAGCAAAAGACAAGCAGCCATGCCCCACCTCTAAAATACTGCAGCACATCACCAGCTAAACTACCACACTAGCAGGGAAACTCTGTATGAACTCATTTGGCCTGCCTGGCTGCATGACATTGTGAAGTTAGCCCCTATCCAACATGTGCATAAAATAGTCAGAGGCACCTTTAAAATTCAGATGTTTCAATTGAATCCAGAGCTCCATGGCTGATTTAGTAAAGCTATGGGGTGAAATCCTGACCCTAGTGAAGTCAGTGAGTTTTGTCTTTGGCTTCAGTGAGACCAGATTTCAGCCACGGTATGTGCTCACTGATATTGGAGTGCTGCATTAAATATAATATGCCGGACAGTGTGTACCAGGTGATGCCCTGTGTGTGCTCTTCGCTATTCCATTTTCATATTTAAAAGAACACTGCTGCCACACAGAAGCCACAGCCAAAGCGATACTCTCCTGCAGAAGGATTGAATGAGAGCTCTGACATTCCCAGGGCTTAAAAGGCAAGAAAGAGATAATACTTCTATTGCAGAAAGTCACGTATCTGGACATATCTGAAGATGCATCTCTGACACCCCGATTCTACCGTATTAGACATTTTAGAAATGCAAATGGATGGCCAGACGGAACTGTCTCTTCGAGGCAGAGTCTGTCACATTAGCATTGATGTATCTGCATGGACAAATATACTGATGTAATTCTGTCTACTGCAATAACTTGTCAATCCCTTGCTCCCAGAGAGAAGACGGAAATGATTCGATCGTATATCCAGGAAGTGGTGCAGTACATAAAGAGGGTACGTCGGTCTGTTGTATGTCTATTGTTTGTAAAAGTTCAGTTTTTATAGATTACAGTTCAAATGGAAATGATCCTTGGAGTGAACATGAGCCTATACGTCCTGCTGTAGGAGTATGTGCAGCCAATGCACTCAAGGCAGAGATTTTTGCAAGCAGTGCCCCTGGGGGGTGCATATGCCCTTGCTCTCCCATACACAGAGCCAAGGGCGCAAAAGGGGCATAGCCACAACTTTCCCCTCAGTTCCTGCTCACTATCCTATATTTAAACCATTCTGGTTAGCCAATTTAGAGATTTTGTACATAGTTGTAGTTCATATAGTGTAGTTATACTTCAGTTAGGTTTAGTGGAAGGCTGTGGTCAGGTCTCTGGTGGCTGTGTCACCTAGTGGCTAGGACATGGAGTAAGCCAGTGAAAAGGGGAGAGGGCGCTGGCCTCCTGCTACCGGTGTTTATGTCTCAGGAACTCTGAACCACTGCCTAGTCCAGTCCTTAAATTTGGTATGTGGCCCCAATAGTTCAGATTCCCCTTAGCTGGGGCTTCTCAGTAGGTTCCCCCCTTTTCCCAAGGAGGTAGGGTGGAGGTTTACTTGCTCCCCTAGCTGCTAAGCAGACAGGCTCTGGTTCATACCCTTGGACTACTGAACTTGGTTCCTGCCCGACTTGCTAGTCAGCCCCAAATTGAGTCAGTCACCTTCCTTTTCTCCTCCTTCCAGGCCTGGCATTTGCTGCAGGCCATGTAGGGCAGGGCTAGCCCAAAGGCTTTCTTTAACCGGTATGATGCCGGGTCCTTCTCTCTCCACTCCCTCATAAGGGGGTTTTGCTGGACAGAAATGTGCTGTGTGCTGGTTCCCCATCTCCACCACTGGCAGGCACTAACACTGTCTAATTTGTTTAGGTGAGGGACAAATGTGAGAAACAAATGCCATACCTATACCCCATTCCCCATGAGGGCCAAGGAACAGAGAGACTTCTGACTTAAGGTTTATCTTCTTGAAATAGCATTGTGTTCCTCTTCAAAGTCTGATCCCTACTATGGGAGAGCAGAGATTTCCTCCACAAGGAGTGTCCCGCCAGCTGACCTAACTCCAAAGCTAGTTTCGGGTGAAACACATAGACCATCTTCTTCTCCTTTGGCCTCCTCACACAGTTCTGAACTTCAAGTCTGCTAGGCTGCACTACACATCTCTCAAAATGGCGCTCAAAAGTCCTCGCTGCCCAGACATCTCTCTAAATATCCATCAGGACAGCTGATATGACTTTGTGTTCAATGGCAACAACCTGTGAGGTATTCTTGTTAGTCACGGGCCTCCAGCAACCCAAGGAAAGTTTGAAATGCAAGAGAAAAATTGCCCTTGGAAGCACTAAACTCTTTTCCCTGATGTTCAGGATGTGCCTGTAAAGATTCCTGGGTGACTCTTTGCTCTCTTGGGGTATGTCTACACTACAGAGTTTTGTCAGAAAAACAGCCGCACTGCAGTCGTGTTCTTCCAAAAGTAAATCAAAAGAAAAGAGGGCTTTTTCCAGCACTTGTAATCCTCTTTCTATGAGGAAGAAGCCTTTTTTTGAAAGAGCTCTTTCGGAAAAAGGCGTGTGTGGACGGGGAAGAGGGAGTTCTTTTGAAAGAAGAGGAAAGAGGAAAATGCACAGGTGCCCTGGTGGCCACTCCGTCCATAGTAATCACAGCTGAAATGCGAGATAGCGTCCATTCAGTATGGACGCTATCTTTTGAAAAAGCAGATCACTTTTTCAATGCACTTTTGTATGGGAATGCTTTATTTTGGAAGAAGGTTCTTCTGAAAGAAGCCTGTAGTTTAGACATAGTCTCAGTGTCTATACCACAGGGATGAAGAGGAAATGTTTCAGATGACAAGGACAATAGAGACAAAGATCTAAGCCTTGTAGATATTGCCTGTCAGTTTCGTCCACAGCATGCCTTTCTCTACAGACTTCAGCTTCCAAACAGTCATATTGGCATCACATGTTGAACACGGCATAAACAGTTTCGACCACCCATTTGGAAACTGTCTACTGTCTACCTTTTCTTTACAATGTATGGAAAGAAATCTCTTCTCAGCCAATTCACTCCCTTCCCCTTTTTACCTTCCCATTTGTTTTCAGGGATCTTTCTCACCATGCTGTATTCATGTAAGATATATAGTCTCTTGGATCTGGGAGCAATAGAAGCTTTTTATCAGCACAGGGGGAAAAGCTTTTATTCCCACTACTTCCTGATTCTTCTAAATAGCGATACTATGAGGCATGACAAAGTGCCACTAGGCATGTACTAATGAGACTCGGGGGCTGCCTGTGAGTATAAGCAGAATCAGCGGTCGCCTAGGGCACCGCCTTCAACGGGGTGCCCGGGGTGCCCAATGATTACATCACGCCATTGAGGGCCGTGCAGGTGCTAGCTGCCGCAGCCGCAGCCGGCCTCAGGCCGCTCCTGATGGGACTGCTGGCAAAAATCTCTGACTTGAATGTGTTGGGTGTAGATACACCTACAGTGGCATATAGAGGTATATAAAATATCCTGAGTAATGAGTTATTGTGCAGATAAGTAACCAGTTTTTCTAAAGATTTAAATGAATGTTATATAATTTCAACTTTTTCTGCAACCACCCTACCAATTATTTGTAAACTACTGTTTATAAAATTAGATTTTTTTAAACAATCAATGACCAAGGGGAATTCAGTTATTTTTCTTATCTGAGTCTAGATTTCATTTTGATCTATGCACAGTTTTTATTCATGGAAACCATATACAGCCTCTTGCCTTCATGTTTTGTAGAAACATTATTGTAAATTGGTTTGCTGTCTGAAGAATGTAATGACAGCTTTAAAAACTCTGTGAACCAAGGAACATTTAACTACAGCATATGCCTTATTCTGTTTAAGTGTGTGGAACTGCTGAAATACATACGCATTTTGAGCAGAGCTCTGCAAAATAAAACGTGGTTCATGGAATTTCATGAGAAAATGCCAGCTTTTTTGTGGTTTAAACTGTTTTATGTTGTACTGAACACCAAATTTTGCTTTGTGAAATGTGGATCAAAAAAGCTTGTTTTCAAATAATAAAAATGTTGAAAATAAACTCCCATTAATTTCTTTAGGTCTTCAATGCAGAGCTATTTAAAAATGGCTGGGTCATTTTGGCTCACAGAGGCTCCAATACAGGAAAGCACTGAAGAGTGTGCTTAACTTTAAGCATGTGCTTAATTTCCGTTGAGGTCAAGTTAATGTTTAAGAGTTTTGCTGAATGTAGATCCAAGTTTTGTTCTGTAGCCAAAAATATTTGAACGTGTTTCTTTTTTCAAGGCTCCAGTCTTTCACAGTGTTTTTTCTGGGTGCAGGAATTAGCCATACAAGGCTCCTTATAGGATAGGGTTCAAAATTCACAACACAATATATTATTTTAGGAACATTGCATTGTCAAGGCTATTTAGCACACTCTGGTTCTGAATGCCTGCTGTGAAGTTTATATGCAGTATTTTAGCCTGGTCAGCCCCAGGATATTGAGAGACAAACTTCTTTCTCATCAACAGAAGTTCATCCAATTACTTCACCCACCTTGTCTCACCTATGAAGTATGTGGCATATGCAGCCACAGAAGAACTACTGCCAACAACAGAAGTTATTGGTGCATGTCAAAAAAGGATTACAGCTAAATTAAAAAGGCTTTCAGTTTTCATTCAAGAATTGTAATATTTTTAATTGGAAAAAGCAGGTTTGTGTATTGGGTGAAACAGAATTTTGTGCTGTTTTCTTACAGCTAGAAGATGCTCAGAGTAAAAGACAGGAGAAACTTGTGGAAAAACATAAGGAGATTCGTCAGCAAATACTGGATGAAAAGCCCAAGGTAAACTGTTTTGAGCACTGACATAGTGCTTTTAAAAACTATTTTCTGCAAATGCACCAGTTAATCTGACACTTCAGAAGTACGATAGAACCCCCCACATATTAAGAATATCATTGATGAGTTCCCTGGTATTTGAGATTATGAAAAAAGTCAGATCACAACCTGCTAGTGAGTAATCATTTCAGCCCCCTATCATTAGATTAGCCTTTTAGTCATTGCCGAGTATTTCTAAAAGGCATCAGTTGTAAAGGGTGTTTCTGACCAGCAGAGTGTGCTCTTTGCTGTAATGTTCTTTAGCAGTACAAAAACAAAACACAGTTTGCATAAAAAAGGAGATATCTTTTTAGCATGCTTAGCTCAAAATATTCTTAATAGTAATGACAGCCTGCCAAAAAAGGATGACAATAGATTTGTTTTCTATTTATGGAGAAAAAATGAAATATTTCAAAATGCTGGTGTTGAACATGATATATTTGCTGAATTTTCTACACTGGATCTTATGCACAGAATCTTTTTTATTCTCTTTCATGTCAGCTAAGAGCATGTACCATTCTGACATCTCTCTCACACACACACGCGTGCACTTTCTTTTAGAGATTGTGTTCTGGACCTTTTCCTGATGAAGCCAATGGGAGTACATTGACTTCAGTTCAGGTGCCCAAAATGTTATAAGATTTGTTTCAGGAAGTCCTAATTATATCAACGGGCTATTGTACATGGAGATGGTGTCATTCAACAGAGAGCTGTTCCTGGTCTAATTTTTAATGGATCATCGTGGTCTAGGGATGTAAGCGACTAGTCAACTACCCAATAAACCTAGGCTTATTGGGTAATCCAGTCACTACTTCACTAGTCACTTTGCCCTGCCTTGCTGCCTCTGTTACAAAGGCAGCAAGGTGGGGGGGAGCAGGAACCATTACTGAGGGAAGCTTAAAAGCTGGCTCCCCCGAGCACCGTCTCAGCGGGGGGCACGGGAGGCAGAGGTTCAGTGAGAGAATCAGACCTGGCTTTCGCCAAGCTCTTACTACATTTAAAAAGCAGAGCCTCAGTGAAAATTTCATTGACTACTCGATTAGCTTCTTAACTGCTATTTAACATCCCTCGTGTGGTCATCTCAGCTTTCATGTTTCCTGAATTAGATCCAGCATATTATAGGCTTCAATTTTATTTTCTTGTCTGTCTTCCACACTAATGTTTTGATGCCTCTATTAGAATTAAATTGTCAGTAATAAGGAATTTTAATGTTGACAATAGTTAATCAGTGCTGGCCTGCTATTTGCATGAAATATCAAAATAATAAATCAGGTAAATATTTTAACATCTAATGGGCGATAAATGATAAATGTAATGCATGTCTAAAAATGACATATTTTTGATTGTGTAATTTTCTACTTTGATTTTAAAATTCAGCTTTATAAAAACAAAAATTATAATTAATAACAGTCAGTTTTAATGCCATGATACCAGGGATCAGAATATATCCTCGTCTTTAAACATTCAAAAGTCTTCCTTTTTGTGTTGGATCATCAGCTTTTTAGAAATGGAGCTAACTTATTTTTTTTAAAACTAGTAGTCCTGTGGCACCTTAGACTAACAGAAATATATATAATATATTTATATTATCATAAGCTTGTGTGGGCACAGCCCACTTCTTCAGATGAGCTGAAAGCTGAAAGTCTATGAAAGCTCATGATACTATACATATATATATTTTAGTCTCTAAGGTGCCACAAGAACTCTCAGGCTACATCTAGACTACATCCCTTTTTCGTAAAAGGGATGTAAATTAGACGTATCACAATTGCTAATGAAGCGGGGATTTAAATCGCCCCCGCTTCATTAGCATAAAAATGGTTGCCGCTTTTTTTCGGCATGGAGCTTTGCTCGAAAAAAGCACCAGTCTAGACACTGATCTTGTGGAAAATAAAGCCTTTTCCGAAAGATCCCTTATCCCTCTATGAAATAAGGGTTTGCACTTGATAAGCTTGTTTATACAAACTCTTAATTAACGTCTTTCCTTCTTTAAATTTCAAGAGTGCTTCTGTACTTTTTAGTTAAGCAGTGGAAGATCTGAACTCTGGACTCACTCCTTATGGCGAGTGAATGAGTTGCATGCAGAGAGAGAGGGATCATGCGCAGGCTTCACAGGGTTAGAATCCTCCCACACACATTCACATCCACAGCTTCAGGGCAGGACACGAGGCAAGTCTGCTTTTATATGGACTTCAACTGGACTCTCTTTGTAATGACCAATTGGCAATGCCTTTAACCTCCCCTGTCATGACCTTGCTGTGAGACCTGCTTAGTGTGGTGCTGTGTAGTACACCAAGCGATCTGAAACCTACCCCTTACCATATCATGCAAATGATTTCAGGGCTTTGCTTTTTCTAGGGCCCAAGAATTCAGTGCTAAATACCCTTCAGAGTATAAAGAGTTTTATTTTTTTCCTTTGTATTCAAAGCCAAGCTCCCTTATGAGCAGGGCATGATTATGTAGTATATCAAAAGTTTCCCCAGTTGTAGATATTTGGAAAGGTCAGAGGCACTCTGTAGCCTTTCCAGATGTAGCTATTTGAGTACCTAGACATGCATTATGTGCGTAACCAAAGCTCCCACCAAAATTAATGCTAATGTAAGTCAATGGGAGTTTATGGGGCACATAAGCAATGCAGGATCAGTCTCCAAACAAATAGTCTAATATGTTTAGATTTGAGTGCGCCTGCCAATAATGCCACTAGGGACACCCTTTCAGCCATTCATCACCTTCACTTGGTTACTTCACAGTGACTCACAAAACCTTTATTATCACTTTACATGCAGAGCTGAGCCATAGAGAAAAAGACGATCTCAATCTTTGCCATTATGTTTGCAGCAGGGCTCGGTCGTTTAATACGGTTTGGAGTGTAAGTTTGTAATTTCCTGTACTGTAAGTTCTCTAGAAAACCTGAGGGAACTTTGCCCTGAATGGCTGGGATTTTATATCTTTTTGTTTTAATGCAGAAATCCTGCAGAAAGATATGCCCCAGGTGAAGGCCTTTGGGGTTTGAAAAGATAATTTTTCTAGACTAGGGGACTAAATTCACCACTGATGCACATCTTTAAACACTCCACTGAAGTCGGAAGAATTACACGAAGTATAAATCGGTGCAGATTTTCCCCTCCCCCCAGATAAGGTCTAGACACAGGACACCTTTGTAGTTTTTCAACTGCTTGGCTTACAATAAAAAGAACTTGAACTTCCCATCTACTCGTGCTTGATTCCTGAAATGATGCCGTCAGCTGAAAGGGATGTGAGCAGTCCCTCCGAATACTGTTTTCTCCTTGAAGTCAGTGGGAGTTTTGCTTCAATGGAACCAGAATTCCACATGGTACCTGTACAAGATGCTCCTTCTGATCACAAATTCATCTCTGGTCTAGCAGAGCCTGGAATTCAATAATTTCATGGATGTGTTTCTATGATGTGTGTATATGAGGACATAGCAAATATGTCCAGCAATGTGGTAGAGAACCTACAGGAAAAGGACAACAGTCACCTTGTTAATTCAAAGATTAAATGATTATGTCTTACCCTGGCCTACCCTTCCTTAATTGCCCTCTACCTTGTGTGTTGTGTTAGAGACTGCACATCAGAGAAAACTCGTTCAAAGGCAACTCCTATGGGTGCATACATTAAAAGCCATGTAGTAATTGGAATACATCAAGGTTTCTAATTTATACCTCTCTCTTGAGCATCAGATAATGACCACTGGAAGCAGGTTGACAGCCTAACAAAGTGGACTGGTTTTAACAAATAAGGGCTTAAATATGATCGTTGTTTCCACTCTCTTTTCCCTGACAGGACCATGTCCTATCAGTCCCATTATTTCTTTGTGTTCCTTTTTCCCTATCTCCTCCACTTGTTGTCCTTTTTACTTTCTATTTGTTCACTTCCTAGTCACTATCTCCTCATTTTTTCTCCCCATCCTTGTCTTCTCTCCTTATTTCATTAATTTACAATAAGCTTTTGTCTACTTCCTCTTCTTCGCCTTCCATTGCCTCTCTTGTAAATTCTTGAGGGCTACTGTCATAGGTGCCTGGTGCCTGTGTAACCCACACACCTGCAGAGTGTGCTGCACTGTCCCATGTAATGGCACTGAGACCACTACAGGGAGAGAGATTGAGTGTGTGCTACAGCCTTAGCTGACAACGCTGTAGAGGCTCATGCACTAAGCTCAAGAAGTCCCAAGTTCGGTTCCACCAATGGCAATACAAGTGGGACTCATCTGGGATTTCAACTGGGAAGTCTCTGAAGCTTGTGATGAGATCTCTGCTAAGGGGAAGTATGTAAACCACACACCTGCTGGGTGTGGTGTCACCTATGTCTATGCTGTAGCCTTCCTGCGGAAAAGAATATGCAAATGAAGTGTGGCACGGAATATTTCCGTGCTTCATTTGCACAAGTAATGAGCAGCCGTTTTTGCGCAAAATCCTCTTGCGCAAAAACGACTGCTCATTACTTATGCATATGAAGCACAGCATATTCCAAGCCGTGCTTTATTTGCATATGCTTTTCCACAAGAAGGCTAAAGTATAGATCAGTGGTCGCCTGCTGGGTACCAGGGGGCGTGGCCATTCGCCTGCCGGGCGCCAGAGGGCGGGGACTCTCGCGCACCCGGGGGCGGGGCCGCGCATACACCACACCCCCATGAGCCATGTGCCTGGGGCCAGCAACCCTATGCGCCGCGTGACCATTTGCAGCAAGTCTGGGGCCAGCGTCCTGCAGAGCCATGCGCCCAGGGCCAGCACCCCCCCATAGCCACGCGCCCAAAGCTGCCCCCCCCTCCCATAGCTGCATACCCGGGGGGTCGACGCTCCCCATAGCCGCGCTCCTGGGGCTAGCGCCCCCCATAGCCACGCACCCGCTGGCACCATGCTGGGGACCACTGGTATAGATGTAGCTGTACTGTCCCATATAGTGGCACTGAGACCACTTAGAGACAGAATGAGTGTCCTCTACTGCCT